TTTTCAAGCTTCTACAAAAAAAAAAATAGTATAGTTTAATTTATTTTTATATATGGTCTTCTTGCCTGCATAAAAAATGTGTTAGAGGAGTTGGCTTTTAGTGGTTTCTCATATGCAGTGCAATAATTATCTAAGAGATCAATTTGGCACCTTTCTTCCACAGCTGGAAAACTGTTTGGTTAGAACACAAAACAGGAAGGAGTTTGTCTCTTTCAAAGAAGAACTGTTAATACCCTGCTAGATAAGCTTTCCCTTTATTTTTCAACCGCGGGCATTTATTTTCCTGTTCTAATGCCAACAACTTTGCAGTATCTATTATTCTTACTATAGGAATTCTTAAGAATTCAGTGGAGGTCATGTACGTGCTCTTTTTCTAGAACATGAAACAGCTAAATGATGGCCAAAGTTACTATGGTTTTTACTAGTTTTTTGACTTAAATACTTAGTAGTTTTTTCCTTTTTTTTTTTGAGTGCCTTATATTGATACCACACAAGTGGTGTCTTGGGTTTATATACTTTTCCCCTGGATTAATGAGAATCATGGAGAACTTATTGAAATTTAAGTTATACTTCACTGGGTATCTTTGTTCATCAACTGGAACCTTTTTTCAGATTTTTGGGTTAGAATCAGTGGTGAACATCTGTGAGCTCTGGTAGGAGGGACCACATGCTGGATTCTGTTTACATATCCAGAAACAGAAGTAGATAATAAGATTTAAAAAAAATAGTCGTGAGAGAAGTATGAGGTTCATAGTAGTAAAGGAAGACGGTGTGTCTGTAGGGGAAGATTGTAGCACCCATTCCTAGATGAACAGGCTTTACTGTTACTGAGCAGCTCTGGTTTCGGTGCTTCGTTTTGCTCCAGAAGAGAGAAGGGCAGGTACCCAGCCCTGCAGCAGGGGTGCCCCTGGGTATCCCCGGTGGATCTGTTTGGGGGCGTTGGGAGATGCAGCACGTGTGTCCCGTGGCACAGAACAGATCCTGACTGGAGTCCAAGTGCTCCGGCATGGTACAAAACCAGGTTCAGTTACTGTCTCCCTGGATTTCAGAACCCGAGGCATATTTCTTACAGCGTTTCATTTTCCTTGTCAAAAAGCCTGTGAGTTGTCCTAAAATACCACAATGAATTTCACTTTTGTTCCAAGAGCTGATCATTATTATTGTGACTTATTACCATAATGTCACATCGCTTGCTAACTTTTCTACTGCTAACTTTTTCTGCTGACTGCTTGTCAGTTCATTACTGGCTTTGTATCAGTGGGATAACAGTTTTACTGAAAACAAATTGGATGGAAAAAAAATGTACCCGTGGAATTTCTTGCCACGTTGAACACCAGACCATCTGATGTGGTACCTGACGGAGAAAGTGTTGGGCTGGTGGCCTGAGCTGGCGACTGCTTTTAGGGAGCCTCTTGACCTTTCTTGCTCTCCATTTCAATTGCTGTTTGGCTGATTATGTTCAAAGGGCCAGGGAAAACCTAACCTTCATGTGGCTGCTCAGAAGCTTTAGTTTAAGTCTTGTTGTCTAGCGTCTCCTTTGGAGATGGATGGATGGATTCTGAAGTGCATTTGCTCAGCCCCATTACGAACCCACCCAAAACAGGCAAAACTCTGGTCTCCTGAGCTCAGGTGATGCACAGTGCGGGGTGCTGGGCCTGAGCTGAGTCTACAGCCAGGGAATGGCTAATGGCTGGAGCCTGGCTGCCTGGCAGATGGGATTGCCAACGAAGATTTGTCATCTTTAACACCACTTAAAAATGTTTACACTGATTCCCTCCTTTTGGAAAATCAGGTCTTGAAGCTGGTAGGAGGTGGCACCTTAAAATTGTCTTTGTCCTTCAGGCTGACACTCAGTCCAAGCCTTCCTTTTCGGGTGTTGAGATTGTGGTGATCCCTTTAAATGCTGTGCACTGACTTTCTAGAGGCTTTTTGTGGAGACACACTGATCAATATGTTGAACAAAGCTTGTTAAGTAATTTCCAAAACACCTGTGGGCCTCTTGTGTGCTGCTGCTTTTAGAATTTCAATGTGGCAATTGCTCAGTAGCCCAAAGCAAAGGTGTTGAAGTAGATACAGGTGAACAGGTCAAAGATAAGCAGAAACAGCATATGAAAGGGCAATTCCAGCAGACATCAGGACTCCCAGTGTCTTCTCTGTTGCTTTCCTGGAGATAAGAGGCAAAAATTAAGCAATGGTAACTATTTTTTTTTTTTATTCTTGCTCCCCCAAAGTTCAGTTTTTTCCATAGAGTTGTATTTGCTGATCCTGCATCACTTACTCTAGAGCAGCAGAGGCATTTTTTGAATTCAAAGGAGTATTCTTTTTTTTTTTTTTCCCCCGATGTATTTATGCTAAAGAACCCTGTGGGGGGTTGATGGAAAGGGGTGCATACCCACAGATCTGCTGATAACTAAGCCTGCTATTCAGCTCTTGCATTGTAAAACTATGTACCACTCCCTTTAAAAGAAAATCTCATAATTTAAGACTGATTTGTCAGTGTAAAAGCAGTACTATTGAACTGCTTATTAGCTGCTTCATGCTATTTGGTGCAGAGCAAGGATCTTGCCTATACAGGATCAATTAATACCTAGGAACTTGATCTTGTAAGAAACCACAGCACGTGGCTCTGTTCCTCCTAACATTAATCCTGAAGGTGAACCTTGTCTATGCTGTCAAGTCTCGTTACACAGAAGCCCACATGGGTTTTTCAGGTGAAAAAAATGAGAACGCCTTTTACTTACGCCCTTTATTAGTAACCAGTTTTCAAAAAATAACTTAAAAATATATTAAGAAAGTAGATGTCTTACAGGGGAGTAAATGTCCAGGAGCAGAATAGTCCTCTTGGCTTAATTCAGTGCTTTGACGTCTTTGAATTTTCTAGTGCAGTGGGCTGAGTATGGGTAGTTCTGGCTTCTGAGCATCTGAGGCTTGGATGTAAATATCTGGATTTCTGCTTTCATTCTGAGCCTCTAATGCTTGTCCGCTGAACCATAACATTGAGACATGTCAGATTTTTTGACTAGATGTATAACTGGAGTTACTGTTTATTTCTCACATTTTTTGTTATGATATAAAAAAGCAAATTTCACATTAGGGATGTATGCTGACCTCAGAGTATATGGTATAATTTTGCTGAGAGACTTAGCTGTCAAAACAGGAAGGACATTTCAAAAAATAAAACTTGAAGTTCTTACCAATCACTTAGAATAACAAAATATTTCAGAGGTAAGCTTGCCACATGATCTTATGATAGCTTGAGCTTTGTACAGACTTTTTTTTAAAAATTATTTTAACTGATGTGAACACTGAGCTTGAAACCATTTCTACCAGAACATTCATGTTATGGGTATGCTATGAATTCCTGCTCTGAACCTGTGTATGTCAGTTGTACTGATGGATTGAAATCTCTGTACATAAGGCAATAGAAAAATCAAATTTATGGGGGTTTTCTGGGTATAAAACAATGGGACATGTCTCATTGTCTCCCTGCTTTATAAATTGTTACTGGTGGGCGATTTCTTTATAATCCCCCAGTGAAGGCTGCCCCAGGTTTCAAAGGGCTGTTTGCCTGTCCACAGCGTGTGTCTGTTCAGTTGGGAATGTGTTTTTTCTCTGACTTTCTTTAGAAAGGTCTGGGAAGCAATCATCCGTAACAGTGCTCGGCTTGCTGTCTTTGTAATCTGCTTCTCGTTCTGGAGCCTCCCTGGTTTCCAGTTATGTGCTCCCCCCTGAGCCTGATTGTGTAGCTATTTTTCCTGATAAGTTGAACCTCCTTGTGGAATGTCTCCTTACAGGGGATGAAAGGAGTGTGGGCAGCCACCGCGCTGGCTGTGCAAGGTGGTGCCTCTTACTTCTGTAGATGGGGAAGCCAGTGTAGAATCTTCATCTGAACACTTTTTTTTAAAAAAAAAGTCCTGATTTATTTAGTAGAATTAACTGCTATGTACTGCTTTGTAGTGCAATATAACATCAAGTCTATCTTGCAGCACTGTACTAATTCTAATTTATTTTCAAATATATGTAATAGAAAAGTAATGTATTACCTTGACAGATTACTGAGGGAGATACCTTGCTGAAATGGTATTTTTCTAATCCATGCCTATCAACATGTATTCAGGTCTGGCCATGGTAACTGCATTAGTATATGACAGTGTCTACAGTGAGAAAGTGTCAATATTTAAGAGGCATTAGCTTGTTGTGGGTATTCCCAAGGATCTTCACTCCTTCCCTTAACCTACTCTTTGCATAGTGGCTACAAACTTGTGTGTAAAAACCCTTTCAGGTGAAAATCTAGCATAGGTAAACCAAAAACTTACATAATTCTCCCTTTAAAATGAAAATTCATATATTACATGTAAAATACAGTCTGTCAGTTCAATAACTAACTTTAAATGGTGAAATAGTTTACTACGGAAAATACTGGAATTTGCTATAATTAGAAAAGTCTAATCACTCTCCCATGTTGTGTTGTTTTTTTACTTTTGTTACTTTTGTTTCTTGCTGCAGCGATGCACCATGTGACTTTTTTTTTTTTTTAAATGTTAGATAGATGTTATTTATTCTAAAGACCTACGCATTCTTTGGCACAGGATGTAGTAACTTGGACATCTCAGGAAGAGGCAGTATTGGAGAACCTTATCTTGCCCTTCTTGCCTGTGAAACTCTGTTAAAACTTTAACAGTCTAATCTGGGTGAACAAAATTAAAAAGGAGTTCTTTAGGAACAATTTTTATGGCCGAGAAGTTTGATGTTCTATAGAAAGCAACAGCAAATTGTTCCTGGGTTAAACTGTGTTTGTTTGTGAACAAAGTGTGTGGGTGATGGAAGTACTAGAAGTTAAATGACTGTCAAAACATACAGTAATCCAGCCCTGATTTGTATCCAGCATAGTGCTAAGCATTTGCCGTCGCAGGTGCTGGGTGTTGGTTTGGGATTCCTGACACTGAAATGGTATTTGTCTCTTTCTTCCATTTTTTTTTTTTTTTTTTTTTCCTCTGTAGGAACTTAATCTGCCTATGTATAAGGCTCATTCACCACAGATTGGGATGCGCCGATACTTCATTGATCTCCTGACTCTCCTCAGCAACCATTGCAACCTCTGCCCTACAGCCCGGCATCTCGCTATCTATTTATTGGACCTCTTTATGGATCGCTATGATATCACTGTCAAGCAACTGCACATCATTTCGTTTGCCTGTCTTCTTCTAGCAAGTAAGTTGGCTGCTGCCTATTGCTTTTTTTTTTTTTTTTTTTTTTTTCCCCGAACAGATGGTTGTTTTCCTTATCATGTGCTGTTTTCTCTGTGTTAACAGATTCTACCTACTTAGGGTAAGGTCTAATGAAGTCCAAGTCGAGGCATAAAGCAATCTGTTAATAAACACTGCTTAACTGCATAACTTGCACTACACAGCCATATGCTGGTGTTGATGTACAGAGGAAGTTTTGGCAGCTGAAACTGGATCAATGGAAGGGGACAGTGAAGATCAGGGGGTGATGAGGTAGGAAGGAAGTGGCAAGACTGGGAGAGGACTGGGAGAGGTTAGTTCCAAGGAAGAGTTGGTAGTAGGGAATGATATCTCTGTAACACACAGCCTCTACTGGAGATCTGTCCTTGGACAATCTGTGACTGTTGTGATCACTGGGCATAATCAGATCCTTGCAAATCAGAGGTTTCTTATATAGGGGCCAAAGGAAAATCTGCTTCTCGAGGCACTCGGTGGATATGCTGATGATGCGGGACTGCATATTGCTTGTTCTGGGCTCCTATCAAATAGCTAGGCATTGCTGTGTAATACTAGAGTTTCAGTATTGGCATCCATGTAGTAAATGATCTTGAACATTTGTCATTAGTGTTTTATTTAAATTTTTGCTGCAGCCAGTGCAGTGCAAGTGGAGGAAAGTGAGACTGGTGTCTCAAGGAATTGCAGTCTACCCCTGCAGGCTTATGAACTCTGTCTCTAGGTTACATAGAAATTATCCTGCCATATGGGAGCCATGCAGAGCAATGCACTATTGTGGACAACAAAAGTTATGCAAACTCTAGCATTAATGGCTGAAAAGTGCAAGTAGTCATATTAGTTAAGGTAAAAAAAAAACCTTAAGAAAAGAAAGTGTTACTGTATGTTTACCCCTCAGGACATGGGATGGCTACTGCTTTTCCTTGCTGTTTGTGTTCTGAAGAACTTAATCTGTAGAGATAATGGTAAAATAAAAAAATACACCATGCACTTAATGTATTTAAGCATCACTAGCTGTCTATCTGACTCCAGAGAAGACAGTGAATTATGCGGAGCAGTTACTGGTCCATGTTGCAAGAAAGGCTGATATTAAAGTTGGAACAAAGAAGAATGTAAATGGTTGCTGTAGGTATAATCCAAGTGACTCACATATTGTAGTTCTGCTGACCTGAACCTTTGGTGAGCTCCTTCAGGCCAGTAGAATCGCAGAAAACCATTCCTACTGAGGAAGTATTTTATTTATTTACAAGAGAGGTATTTTTCGGAGCAGTCAGACAAGCTTCAGGCCAGTGCAGTGGAGGGGAAACGGGCTAGGGCTGGTTTGTAAATTGTTAGGAAGCTACCCTTACTTTCAAACACATCAGACTGGAATACCAGGTTCAGATAGCCTGGAAACTGATGCCTACTTAGAGGTGTACTCCTTCAGATTTCAGACCCTCTCTCTTACTTTTTGGTGGTAACCTCATAACTACAAGATGCCTTGCAGTATTGCTAGTTTTTTGGGTCTGGGTTGTTTTTGTTTTTTTTTTTTTGTTAATTTCCCAATAGCATGGATGAATGCTACCTTCAGGAACATTAATCCATTATCTAAAGGATTTTCTTTAGGTAAATCTGACACTTTCAATTATATTCCTCCATTTTTCCCCAGCATAAAATTGATTCTTCAACAGTTCTTTCAAAAACTCTTCATTTGGATTTAGAGGAAGTATTTATAGCTATAGTTTGTTCCCTGTGATCTGTAGATAGGATGAAAACAGTACCCTCAAACTTTATATGAATAATATGGTTTATCAAGCATGTCCTGGGCTGCAGCCAGAGCAGGGGGGGCAGCAGGGCCAGGGAGGGGATTCTCCCCCTCTGCTCCGCTCTGGGGAGACCCCCCTGCAGTGCCGGGGCCAGCTCGGGGGCCCCCAACAGCAGAAGGACACGGAGCTGCTCGAGCGGGGCCAGAGGAGGCCACGAAGATGCTGGGGGGGCTGGAGCAGCTCCCCTGGGAGGCCGGGCTGAGAGAGTTGGGGGGGTTCAGCCTGGAGAAGAGAAGGCTCCGGGGAGACCTTCGAGTGGCCTCCCAGTGCTTAAAGGGGGGGCAGGAAAGGTGGGAAAAGGAACTCTGGATCAGGGGGTGGGGAGTTAGGACAAGGGGTAACAGTTTTAAATGGAAAGAGGGTAGATACAGATTAGATAGAAGGAAGAAATTCTTCCCTGTGAGGGGGGTGAGGTGCTGGCCCAGGGTGCCCAGAGCAGCTGTGGCTGCCCCCTCCCTGGAAGGGTTCAAGGCCAGGTTGGACGGGGCTGGGAGCCCCCTGGGCTGGGGGAAGGGGGCCCTGCCCGGGGCAGGGGGGTGGGACTGGATGGGCTTTAAGGTCCCTTCCAACCCAAACCATTCCATGACTCTATGTATTGTCAGAGTTGATAGTAAGATCTTGGGCAGGGGTTCACTACATGAGTTTGAGAGAGCTGGACTGCTGACTTCTGTAGTTTCTAGGATTTAAGAAGCAAAAAAACCTTTCAAGAGTTTCCTTATGTGAATGACTGAAGTAAAATACAACTTTAGGCCACCTATATGCATATGTGAAGCAAAAGGAAGTTCACAAACTGCCCTATGATAACACTAGAGGGAAATACTTTGCAACTTCTGTGTGGTTTTTTTGTTTGTTTGTTTGTTTTTTTTTTTTAAAAAAAGGGCAATTCACTTAAGAGCAAGCCTAAATCTAGTGAGCTAATGAGTGTAAGAATCTTTCTAAAATTAAGATTACAGCAAGGCAGTAACATGTATACGTCCTGATCTGGAATTAAATAATTTCTTACAGGATGGGGAAAAGGTCTATTACTGTAAAGGCAGCCTTCCTACCAACATGTAGAAACAAAACACTGAAAGTTGAACTAAATCAGCTTTGTACAAAATTAATGCCTAATTAACTTGCATAGATGAGGTTTAAAATGCTAAGGCTCAGTTTGGAGACATTTAGGATCATAGTAAGCTCTGTTGTTTACTGCCTGGGTCATTTTAATGTGCAGTTAAGGATATTCTTTTTTGGTTTGTGTAGTTCAAAGTGATGCAAGTCAAGTCAGGAAAAGCCACTTTACTGAGTTTAGTTTGTTACTTTCAAAATTATATAAAATGGAAGGAAACTTGTACTATATTTTTTTAAATGTTTTGTAGTAAAAGATTAAGTCAGAAGTATTGACCTGAAGTCACCCTTAAAGTTCTCGTTTTAGCAAAGAAGAATAAAACTAGTCCCTTGCCTGTTACGGCAAATGCAGTCATCTGAACTTCCTGCAAAGCATTACTGTAGGAAGTTGCATAGTTTTTCAGCAGAGGATTGCAGCAAATGCTCTTCAGGCTGTGTTGCAAGACACTTGTACTACTAAAAATTTACATACCTCCACTGTAGACAGCAAAAAACCCAATGTTTTCTTGAGTAGTTGTGGTGTTTACATCCTATCAAGATGAATGTCTAATGCAGACTGTCTTTCAACAATAAACATATTTTGAGAAACTCTGGGTTTTCTTCCTGATTGCTTGCTTAGAAAAGAGCAAGAATTTAAGGGTAGTATACAGACCACAATCAAGATGAGATGTAGTTAGAGGTGAGATTATTGCCACTAATTTAAGTGTGTGGGTTTTGGGGGAGGGGCATAATAGAGAAGCTTGTAGACATACAACTTCTGAAATGGAAGCCAGAAACTCCTAAACTAAGCCAATTTTTAAGCTCAGAGAAATTGTTGTAAACTTGTGTTTAGCTTTGAAGTTTATTGCTTCTATCATGGATCTAAAGGATCTCAAAAACTTGTCTCTTCTTTTTTTTTCCTTTACCTACAAACATTGTCATCACCTATTTTTGGATAGCATCTGACAGTGGTGCTCTCCTGATGGAGAACATAACATTTTGCTAGATGCTTGTTAGCTGGAGCTGATTTATCTTTCTGTATTCTAGAAATGCATTTTGACTGGCTCATCAGTTTCCCCAGACAGGGAAACTGGATGATGATAGTGCTTCCCACCTCAGTAATAATTGTGAAAGAGAGGAGGGAATGAGAAGATAATACTGTTCCAAACAAATTGCACTAGCAGCCAAGTAATGTTCAGCCTGGACTTGCTGCAGTTGAGAGGAATGTGGGTGTGTATCCCTCAAATCATCCAGTTGTTCACTAGCTGGAAGATGTATATTACTTTGCAATGTTTGCACAGTGTGATAATTGGAGAAGGTCTCTGGAAATTCCTGCCAGATAGTTTAGCTCCTCAGAACAGGTATAAAAGCTTTGAAATTTACTAATGTCAGGAGTGGTTATTATTTTCTGTGAATCAGTTATGAAAAAGAATGGTGAAAATTTGTTCACAGTAATCCAGAGGTGAACTGAAAGCTTTTAGTGGAGGGAAGGAAAAGTTGCTGGAAAAATTAATGTCGCAGTTACTTTAGGAATGTATTTGGAACAGTCTCTCTCTTTCACTTGCATTAAGGAAAATGTTATGATCTAAACCAGAATCATAAGCTAGACATGTTTCTGTAATACTGAAAGACCTGGTCCACGTGGATGCTTTGGCTAGGTACAGAGGCCCACCTTCTGAGTCTAGCCATGGTAATACAAGAAGTTTTAGGTTCCTGCTGCTGTGAGATCATTAGTGAAGTCCAGTGGTTCTGATTGCTCAAGACATTCCATCTGTCCCTTGCTTGAAGCAGTGGTTGCTCAGGTTGACTGCTGATAAGTTAGGGAGATGCTGGCTTTTGGTGAGAAGTAATGCTGGGCAGCTGGGACTGGTGGTCTTCAGGCAAGCCAGCTGGATCTAGAGCAGGATAGTTACCAGTACAGCTGCACAGAAGCTGGGATTGCTGTCTCTGCACTGGGCTGTGGATGGATGCTCACTTTGCAAACTGATAAGCGGCTGAAAATGCTACTACTTTCCTTTTCCCCCAAAGCACCCCAGTGCTTTGAGTAAGTTCTGATTTTCTCCAGACAAAATCAGCTGGCTGA